ATACTAATTTAGTTGAGAGATAAAGTCAGAATGTCACAGGTTCACTCAGCTGGGATCCTGTTTGTCTCGTGACTCACATTTTTTTCTGCTCTGAGCCTGCCTGCAAATGACCATGAAAATGCAGAGTACTGATTTTAGGGTGACGAATAAATTTTAATGCTCGGCAAATTTGCAAATACAGAACCCAGGAGTGATGAGGCTCAGCTGTATGTATGTATCCACATACACACACACACACACTTTATTATGTAATTTTCTCTTACATAAACCTTGACCTAAAAATGTTAAATTTGCAGATTAAAGGATTACTATATGAAAACCACGCACATAAAGTTATGTTCTCTAGGCACCTATCTTCAGCATGGGAAGACTAAACTTTATAAATACTAAGTTTCCATCTCTTACAGCATCATGAGAAAATGGCTAGATAGATTTTTACACAATTGGACAGCCTGAGATGGTGATAAAATAGAGGCTGAGGATTTACATGAATTGTTTGTGGGACACTGGGAACAGTTCAGACAGGCAAAAATCCTTCAGAGCAGCTCCAACAGGTACAGTGAGGGACCAGCTGACCGCGAACTGCAAGAAACCCGCCTTTATACTAAGATACTGTGGCAGAGAAAGTTTCAAAGATGAGACCCAAATTGAAAGTCACAAGGGCAATGTGCAATTTCAGTTGATTGGTATCAAATTTTTTCCTTTCACATGGAAACTCTAAGTAGTTGCTGTGAATAGGAGTTTATAAATGGATGATTCTCCCGAGTAAGTAAGTTACTAAGAAAAATTCTCATTAAGAAAATCTCTTGGTTGAAATGAAACACATCCAACTTGAGTGCTTTAAGTCCTTATACTTACTTAACTGTATCTGAAAAACTGTTCTATGAATCCCCCTTATAATAATCTGGATTCCACGGTTACGTGGGAGAAATAGACTAGCATCCTTATTAGCTCCTTCATGCAATTTGTATTTTGACCTGAGAGACCTAAGAGATCTCTGAAGTGGGTCTGTCAAGCCCAATCACCTCAAAGGATTGCTGTTATTATTACAATAGAAAAATGAATTCAATTAAATTCTAAAACGGTATCTCATCTTTATGACCATAGTTTGTTCTTTATTCAGAGATCAACTTGCCCCCAAATGCTATTTTTGAGATTGGTGAAGTTCAACAATGCTTGCCATTACAGGAACTTGACTGACTCTAAAATCATGTGGGTATCTTGCATATGCATGTATACATAATAGCGACTTTTAAATATTCATCTAAGCCCTGGGTGGTGTGGCTCAGTGGGCTGGAGCTCATCCCATGTGTGGTAGGGTTACAGGTTTGATTCCTGGTCAGGGCACATACCCAACCAATAGACGTCTCTCTCCCTAAAATCAGTTAAAAAAAAAAAAAAAAAA